TGCGCTATTCTCCCCAAAATCAACAAGAAATTTGTTGAGCTTTAAAGATATACGTATGAACGGATATCACATTGAGACTATGAATAAAGGGGGAGATGAATATCTTTACATTACCTCCAATATTGCTGGAAATAAATGTGTTTTGGAGAGATTACCCGCTTTATCCTCGAGTTTATATTACACCCAGATTAATATAACCGAAGCTTATGCTGCAACCAATTCAAAGTCGAATGAAATGTTTAAACTTTGGCATGATCGACTTAGTCACCCTGGCTCGATAATGATGCGAAGAATTATTGAAAATTCTAGTGGCCATCCATTAAAAAATCAGAGGTTATTGCAAACACATGAATTGACATGTGCCTCATGTTCCAAGGGAAATTTATAGTGAGACCATCACATACTAAAGTCGGACATGAATCACCATTATTTTAGAAAAGATTTATGGTGATATATGTGGACCTATTCATCCACCTTGTGGTCCATTTAGTTATTTTATGGTGTTGATTGATGCCTCTAGTAGATGGTCTCACTTTGTTATCCACTCGAAATGTGGCATTTGCTAAATTACTCACCCAACTTATTAAATTAAGGGCTCAAAAGAGTCAGACTTGACAATGTTGGTGAGTTACATCTCAAGCATTTAATGGTTAGTGTATGGCAATGAGAATTGATGTTGAACATCCTGTGGAACATGTTCACACTGAAAATGGTCTAGCAGAATCATTGATTAAACGACTGCAGCTTATAGCTAGACCATTGATAATGAGGACAAAACTCCCCACTTCAGTATGGGGGCATGCTATTCTGCATGAAGATGATCAAATTCGAATAAGACCAAGTGCATACTATACATACTCGCCATTACAATTGCCATATGGTCGAGAACCAAATATTACACATATAAGAGTTTTTGGTGCAGTGTATGTACCAATTGCTCCGCCCCAACGTACAAAAATGGGGCCTCAAAGAAGGTTGAGAATATATGTTGGATATGAATCTCCATCAATAATCAAATACCTTGAGCCGAAAACAGGTGATGTTTTTACAGCTCGGTTTGATTATTGTCATTTTAATGAAGAATTCTTTCCCCCATTAGGTGGGAATGAAAAGTCAATTGAGAGAAATATTGAATGGAGTACATCATCAATATCATATCTTGATCCTCCCACCAAACAAAGAGAGCAAGAAGTTCAAAAGATCATACATCTGCAGAATATTGCAAATCAGTTGCAGATGCATTTACTGATTTAAAAAAGGTGACCAAATCACATGTGGCAGCTGTAAATGCTCCTGCTCGAATTGAGATTCCAAAAGAAATGACAAATGACGATATGCCAAATGAGTCAAAGACACGCTTGAAACGAGGAAGACCAGTTGGGTCTAAAGATAAGAATCCTCGAAAGAAAAGGGAAATTCATGACCAGAACTTGAAAAAGAACCAAGATGATGGAAACATTTCAGGACGAAATGAAAACATTGAAATTTCCATCAATTGCGTAAATAATGGGAATCTTTGGAAGCGTGACGAAATCATAAATATTGATGATGCATTTGCATATATGGTATAGAAAGAAATTGATAATGAAATTGAGGATCCTGAACCAAAATCTGTAACTGAATGTCAGAAAAGACATGATTGGGATAAATGGAAAGGCGTCATCCAAGCCGAGTTAGATTCACTCAATAAACGAAAAGTTTTTGGGCATATTTCTATTATACCAAAAGGCATAAAACCTATTAGATACAAATGAGTTTTTATTAGAAAAAGAAATGAGAAAAATGAGATCACGAGATATAAAGCTCGCCTTGTTGCACAGGGATTCTCCCAAAGGCCTGGGATCGATTATGATGAGACATATTCCCCTGTCATGGATGCAACTACTTTCAGATACTTGATGAGTTAAACTATCCATGAAAACCTTGAGACGCGTCTCATGGATGTTGTAACTGCTTACTTGTATGAATCATTAGACACCGACATATACATGAAAATCCCAGAAGGAATCAGAATGCCCAAAGCATTGAACTCCAAACCTAAAGAGTTATGTGCGTTTAAGTTACAAAGATCAGTATATGGCTTGAAACAGTCAGGGCGTATGTGGTATAATTGTTTGAGTGAACAATTACTAAAATTGGGATACTTGAATGATCAAATATGTCCGTGTGTCTTTATAAAGAAATCACATGATGGAGTTGTGATAATTGTTGTCTTTGTTGATGATCGGGACAGCAAATGAAATTCGAGAAGCAGTCACTTTTCTGAAAGGCGAATTTGAAATGAACGATCTCGGAAAAACCAAATATTGTCTCGGCTTACAAATAGAGAGAGTACAAAATGGGATATTTGTCCATCAATCTAACTATACTAAAGAAGTACTGAAACAATTTAATATGGACAAAGCTAATCCCCTTAGTACTCCGATGGTTAACCGAACATTGTATATTGAAAAGGATCCATTTCAACCTTGTGAAGAAAATGAAGAAATACTTTGTCCTGAGGTACCATATATGAGTTCAATAGGAGCTCTGATGTATCTTGCTAATTGCATTAGACCAGATATATCTTTTGCTACAAACTTATTAGCAAGATATAACTCGTCACCTACAAGGAGACACTGAAATTGAGTCAAGCATATATTCCGTTATCTCCAAGGAACAATCGATCTGGGATTATTTTACTCCAATGATAAGAACATGAAATGATTGGTTTTGTAGATGCAGGATATATCAGACCCACATAAGGCGAGATCTCAAACTGGCTACGTATTCACTATTGGTGGAACTGCATTTTCTTGACGTTCTCAGAAACAAACACTAGTTGCTACATCTTCAAACCATGCTGAAATCATTGTACTGCATGAAACAACTAGGGAAAGCATATGGCTCAGAAACATGACTCAACATATTCAACAAGTCAGTGGATTATCGAATAATAAAGATCCGACAGTGATATTTGAAGATAATGCAGCATGCGTCGCTCAAACCAAAGAAAGATACATCAAAAGTGACAGAACTAAACATATCCCACCAAAGTTATTCTCATATACTCAAGAGCTTGAAAAGAACAAACAGATCAAGATTCAGCAATACATTCGATCAAGTGATAACGCAGCAGATTTATTTACAAAGGCGCTCCCAACTACAATGTTCTGAAAGCATGTCCATAACATTGGAATGAGACATCTTCGAGATTTGCACTGATGATAACTCGAGGGGGAGCATGTGCAGATGTACTCTTTTTCCCTTATCTAGGTTTTTTTTTTTCCACAGGGTTTTTCTGGATAAGGTTTTTAATGAGGCAGCATAAACGCACATTGCATAGTACCTTATGGCCAGAAGATATAATTCTTCATGATGAAAAGATGACACTAGAGTAGTTGTACTCTTTTTCCTTCGATCAAGTTTTTTTCCGACTGAGTTTTCTTGACAAAGTTTTAACGAGGCAACATGTGGGTACTCCATAAAGATGATCTATTTGAGGGGGAGCAATGTTGTGCTTTAACAATGATCAAGTTTGTCCCACCGGGTTTTCCTAACATGCTGAATAACTAATGTTCATTTTATTATTATTGTTAGTCCAAGGAGGAGTGTTGTGAATAATGGACTAACAGTAGTCCTTTGTACAAACTAGACTATGAATAGTCCTATTAGTAAAAATGTCAAGAAATGTGACAAAAATTTTGCCTATAAATATTGCTCAATTTATTGAACATTATGTACGTAGAAATAAAAGAAAGAAAGAGAGAAGAGAAATAAATAAAGAATGAGAGAAAATTCAATAAAATTTATCTCAGATTTCTATATTTGTGTTCTTTATTTTCCGGTATCACCCCTATATATAATTTCCGAATGCGCTGAGCCTACGTGGTTGCTTCTGGTGCTTCAGAATCCTACTTGGCGAAAAATCATGCTTCTTAATTCGGTTTGGCAAATAATATTGATATATTAATAATTAATAACCTAGGTTCGGACATTCCATAAATATTATTAGCCAACTTAGTTATTTTAGTATCACTTGTACTAATATAACCCTTTAATTCTTTGAAATTTTACATATTAAGGCACTAAGTGACTAATTTATCCATGACTTTTGATTTGTTTCCTACAATTAGCTATTGAATTGTAAATGTATTTTAAAAGTTGATAACTTTTGTATTTCTTATCGGTTTTACATATATAATATATCAAATTAATCATCTTTTGATTATCTTCGATTTGACATCCATATTGTATATATGAAATAAATAAACTTTATTTATCTTTATAATAATAATAAATAATAATAATGTTTACTAAAATTCAGTAGAAAAATAAAATTATTTTTCAATTGATATATTTATATTCAATGTAGTAATATCTTGTGAGTTAAAAAATTATTATAATATAATACAACTAAGTCGCACAAAGAAAAAGTGTCATACTAAATATATAATAATATATATTTTTATAAAAGATATTTAAATTTTCAACTACTTTTTTCTCATCAATTTTAGATTTTAAGAAAAAAATTAGCGAGCACCCGTGTAATACATGGGAGTTGTACTAGTTTATAACAATCAATAAATTTTAGGTCTTTTGAAAAATGAATTTCTGCTCTACAATCCTCCCTCACCACCGATCAACACAGTGAGGTCATCCGATAAGCTCAAGCTCGAGCTACACTGATAGTCAATACAGTGAGGTCATCCGATAAGCTCGAGCTCGACCTACACAGATAGTCAGATAACACACAAATCGCAGGTTAGACTCAGAGCACACAGATTTCAGAACAAAATGGGAAAACTGGTTTGCGTCACCGGAGCTTCGGGTTACATCGCCTCATGGCTGGTCAAGCTTTTGCTTCACAATGGTTACGCCGTCAACGCCACCGTCCGCAACCTCAGTCAGTACTCTCTTTTTCCCCCTTTGTTGGGAATTACTTTCACTCATTAAGTTCTTGCAAAAATTCTATTGATGAAAAAAAAAAAATTGATTGAAAGATTATGATGAATGAACAGGTGACCCGAGCAAGATTGAGCACTTGAAAGCACTTGAAGGAGCTAATGAAAGGCTTAAATTATTCCAAGCTGACTTACTCGAAATGGCGTATTTCACTCTGCATCCCCTGTTATGTTGGGTGATATTGTCGACCCACAGGTGGGTCGACTCGACTCTAATTCGAATCATTGTTAAAACATCAATTTTTCCATAGAATTCGAGTGCAGTTTCATTTATTATAATTTATACAGAAGGAGCTTATAGACCCTGCAGTGAAGGGAACTCTTAACGTTCTTAGTTCGTGTCTCAAGGCGCCGACCGTCAAACGAGTGGTGTTAACATCATCGATGGCTTCTGTTATGGTTGACCGAAAACCGAAAACTAGCGAGACTTTGGTTGATGAAACTTATTTTTCCGATCCTGAATTTGTCGAGGAACTTAAGGTTTGTTTATTCATGTGTTTGTTTGAAACTGCTTGTGTTTTTTTTTTCTTGTTAATGCTTTCATATTCTTTTTATTCACATTTTCCCCCCTAATTTTAGAGATTCGTATGATTTAGATCAGCAAATTGTTTTGGTTAAAAGGAGGCACTAGTTAGCATTTATATATTGTGTTTGTAGCTTGTAAGTTATTAAATGTTTGAATAATTTCCTTTCATTAATACAACATAGTTGAGCTTCAGATATAATAGTAGAACTCATAAGTTAACTCATTATTTTTCTCTTTTCTGATTGTTTGTATAACTATTGTTAAAATAAAAATTCACTCTCAGCAATGGTACATTCTCTCCAAAACACTGGCGGAAAAAGCTGCGATTGAGTTTGCAGACCAAAATGGTATCGACTTGTTAGTGATGAATCCTGGCTTGGTGATGGGTCCTCTCTTGCAGCCAACTCTAAATCTTACCACCCAAGCTTTTATCGACCTTATAAGAGAAGGTATATCCCAAAACAGCTTCAAATTATAATATCAATCAATTATTCGTGACTCATGTAATTTGTTGTTTCTCTTAAGACATTTGTTAGTAGCAAATACATGAAAAGGATATAGAAATCACCACCATTTTTATTTACTCGTTGCAGGGAAGAGCATGACAACGCCGAGTGGCATTTTCTTGTTTGTTGATGTCAGGGATGTCGCGAAAGCACATGTGCTAGCTTTTGAGAATCCTTCGTCTAACGGTAGATACTGTCTTGTTGCAAATGTAGTTTATAACTCGGAAATTTTGGATGTCTTACATGAACTCTACCCGACCCTCGATCTACCCAAGAGGTAATTATTCAGCCTTGCCCGACCATAATATATATACATCATTGTGCTTGTATATTTTCTTTGTAACTTTGCAAATTCTTGGCTGCTAATGAATTGGAAAACAGAGAAACTTTGTGCAGCTTATTACATCCAACTTTAAGCACACATTTTATTTTTCTTTTTTTCACAATTGCAGTTCACAAGTGGATCAACGGGATATTCAACGGTTTCAAGTTTCGCGTGCGAAAGCAGAATCATTGGGTATCAATTTTATATCTCTTGAGCAGAGCCTGAAAGATACCATTGAAAGTTTGAAGGAGAGGAAGTTGATAGAATGTTTAAATTGCGCGAGTGAATCTAAAATATAACGGGAATAACTGCCTTTCGAGTCTGTCGATAGGGTAAGTATTCGTGCTTGACCCAAATGTTTAGTCCTAGAATAGTTGAATGATGTATGGGGGAAAGTAAAGTTGTACTTTTGATAGGGAATTGGTTGTTTTATCCACTTTCCAGTATAGTATGAAGTTTACTGTATGGTGGGATTTCGTTAATAGTAGGTAAAAAAGATAAAAAATCAAGAGCATTTAATATACACCTTCTTTGAAAACTTTTTAAGGTAAATGGTACAGTCCGTTACGGAACCATTCTGTTGGGATTTATAACTGTTAGATCATCGTGTAACTGTCGTGGATAGTTGATCTAACGGTTACAATTCTAGAGTGGTTCCCTAACGGGACCATAGAATCTCTCACTTTTTAAATTATATATATTACTTGTTTGCATATACAAGTTTTTAAATTGGATCAAATCTGATATTATCCAAAAGATTATTTCTTTTGAATAATTTATTAACATCTTCCATAATTTCATTGATATATAATATCGGATGCTACCGTAGCATCACCTATAACTTCCATTATTTCTCTTGTCTGCCCCAAAGTAAAAAAGTCGTCCGCATTTCTTGAAACTGCCGAATCAGTTCTACTCCACAATCATCTAATTTTATAAGAATATATTTTTTAAAATAAAATTTTGTACTTTTTAAAATTGACTGAGTGGTTATTTTGTATCTTTTTTTTTATTTTTTTATTTATGATTGGCTATTTTCATAATGTGATCGTTTTCTATAACTAAAATGTTTTTATAATTTTATGCTCTCTAGCTTACACTTAATTTATCCTTAACACATGTGGCGGAGCCGCGGACTAATAGTTGCTATGATCGATTTGTTACTTTTAACAAATATATATTTATACTGTGAAATTCGGTATTTTTTATATTTAATTTTTTGGGTATGTTTTTTTGCTTTGATAATATGAAAGATATTTTTTATTAGTTCGTTGGTTCCAACAAGCACTTGAAACTACAGAAAAATGGAAGATATTTATATTATTTTATTTCCTTACTTAGGTTATTTTGTTTTTTCTATATAAGATTGCATAGATCTAATTTTGGTATTTCTTATTGTAGGAAATCGGATTTTATGGCAAAGAAGGAGAGAAAGGTGTGCATGAAGAGGAGATTATAGAGAGAAGATGAGATTCACTTACCAAACTTGTGCTACAAATATGGAAGGATATCATACAAGGAGTCCTATGCCTTGGAGAAGACTCCAACCCTAAGGAGATTGTATAAATATCCAAGGAGAAGCTCCTATTGCGGCTGCTGAGAAGATAGAGATTTTTGAGCAATATTCGAGCTTGATATATTTTGTTCTGTTCAGTTTTGTACACAGTTCAGTTCGAGAGTTCTTATGCACTCAAGAACTGAAGCTGTTTTAGTTTGTTTTCTTTAATTTCACTCAAACAACTTTGGTGTTTTACACTTAGGGATAAGTGTAGGTTAAAAAGTCCACGGGACGTGGCCGGAGAAATAGTTGATAGGATCGTGAGTAGTTGTGGCTAGACTAGAAGAGAGTTCAGTCTTGTAAGTCCAAACTATGTTGCATTACGATTTATCAATGAAAGAGCATTGAGGGAAAGTGGGATGCTTCCCTGAAGAGTTTTTAAATATTCGGTTTATTGCTTCCGCATTTTACAGTTCTTACTCAAGTTCATACGTTATTAGCGCACTCGCAATAAAATATACATTTCAATTGGCACCAGAGCAGTGTTCCTGTTCTAACTACGGGATAAAGATCTTTGGAACTGTGTGCCGGTCACCATGAGTCCCGATGGGATGTTTGTTTCGCGCCCTATGTTCCTTGATGGCTCTAATTACGCTTACTGGAAGTCAATGATGGTGATCTTTCTTCGGTCACTTGGCAAAGGCACGTGGCAGGCCGTTGAATCTGGTTGGATGATACCTCTCATGGAAAAAGTTCCTGCTAAATCTAAGGGAGGAGAGTCCTCGAATGGAAAGTCGTCAATTTCTGCTACTAAAGTTGTGGTTGAAAAACCAAGGGGTATTTGGACTGATGATGAAAAACAAGCAGAAGAAGCTAATTTTCGAGCTCTATATGCTATCATGTTTGTTGTAGATCCCACTCGTCACAAGATTAAATCATTCAGTGTACAACCGCTCAAGAAGCTTGGAGGATCTTGGAAAGGCAGTTTGAAGGTACAAACGCGGTGAAAACCTCAAAGCTTTAAAGAGTTTCTACCGAGCTTGATGAAATTCGCATGAGGGATGATGAAACTATTGACATGTACTATGCCCGTTTCTGCGATCTAGTAAACTAAATGGCAATGCTTGGTGAACTGGTTCCGGAGGCTAGACAAGTGAAGAAGTTAATGAGAACTCTACCGGATAGGTTTGGAATTAAGATTACAGCATTAGAGAGTTTCCAGAGAATTCAAAAACTCGGCATTGATGATCTTCTCAGCGAACTTCGTACCTTTGAAATTAACCATGGTTTTGACTCGATGAGAATAAGCAAAGGGAAAGGCTTGGTGTTGAAAGCCAAGGTTCGTACTGCGGTCGCTATAGATGAAGAATCAAATGAAGAATCCTTTGATGCTGATGAGATCACAAAGGCCCTCACTATACTCACTAAGAAAGTCTCAAAGCTGAAGAAAATTCAGAAAAAGAGATTCCAGGGAAATAAGTCCTTTGAAGGTGGTAGGAACCAAATTCAACAGTTTGGAGAAAAGCGTTCCGGCATGCAACTGAACAAGTTTCAGAATTCAAACTAAGGAGTTGAAAAGGTCCAGTGTCGTGAATGCAAGGGCTTCGGCCACTTTCAGAAAGAATGCCCAAACTTCAAGAAGAAGAACAAAACGTACAAGGCTATGTGGTCCGACTGCAGTGACAATGAGGATGAAGAATCTGAAAAGACTGAGAATTCTTACTACTCAAATAACTCTGCTAAATGTCTTCTTAATGGTTATAACTGTTTTACGTCCTCTGTTCATCTGACTTGTAGAGTCTGATGCAGGTTCTTACGCGAAGAATTTGAGCAATGTGGACTCTGATGAATTCTCTGACCCAGCTGCTGAAAATCTTGTGCTCCACAAGTATGCCATAGAAAAGTGTCTCAAGGCAGCTGAGATCATCAAGAAGTACCAAGCTAAAAAAGGGAAGATGAAGGTTCTCGAACATCGATCTGCCGAACGTGAGAAGAAGATTACTTATCTTAGGGATGAACTTTAAAAGATGAGAGTGATGACCGTTGATCTGAACAAGAAACTCATCAAATCAGACCTTCATATCGGAAAGCAAGACAAGGATCTTAACAGTTGCTTCGCAAAGCTCGCATTGGTTGAGCACGGGGACAAACTCAACAAACAGGCAAGTGACGAACAAAATTTTACTATTGAATCCTTGCGTAATGAGTTGTTTGTTGTGCAGAATCTTGTAGGTGAAAGAGAAACTGAATATTTGTTCTTAAGGAGGAACTTGGTCGTGTGATGGAGGAACATATGACACTTCGAAGTCATTGTTCGACCCTCGAAGAAAGACTCAGTAAGAGTGAGGAAATTGTCAAACTGATCAGCAAGCCAAAATCATCATACGCTGAAGTTCAAAGATTGAGTCAGCAGATTGGTTCATCTAACCAAGGTAAGAACTCCCACAACTAGAAGTTGAAAGACAAGGTTGGTGAATCAAGCTCCTCACAGAGTAAGGTTAATCTGACCTTTGTTAAAGAAGGCTATTCAATTGATACCAAGAATGGTAAGCCAAACTCTTCTAAAGCTCAGCACAAAAGTTCTGATAAGAACTTTGTACCCGTTTGTCAATACTGTGGGATTCGCAGTCACATTCGTCCCAAGTGTTATAAAATGAATAATGATATATATACGGGTCGAATCAATGACTGGATTCCTCATGGTGTTCCCTTGAAAGCACCTAAACTGAAAGTAGACATAGTAAACCATGAACAGAAAAAGATTTGGGTTCCCAAGGAAAGTAAGAACGTCTGTCTGTCTTCCATACTTGCCTTGAAATCCACGTCTAATTCTGACTGGTACTTTGATAGTGGTTGCTCTCGTCACATGACAGGTTTGAGGTCTAATTTAACAAATATTATGCCAGTTTCTTCTAGTTCAGTAACTTTTGGTGATGGGGCAAAGAATAAGGTTCTTGGAATAAGATGTCTGAATGTTCCTGGATTGCCAAACTTCAAAATGTCCTTTTGGTTCAAAATCTTAAAGTCAATCTTTTGAGTATAAGACAACTATGTGATCATGGTCTATATGTGAGTTTTAATAAGTCAGAGTGTCATGTGTCTGATCATGAAAACAAGCATGTTCTTACTGGTACTAGATCCAGGGATAACTGTTATCTAGTGGAACTTGATTTAAAGTGTAATAAATCCAGTGTAGACATGACTGAGCTTTGGCATCAAAAGTTTGGTCACATAAACTATCCTCACTTACTTGAACTCTCCTCTACAGGTGTTGTTCGAGGATTGCCCAAGCTGAAGAAGGAAGAACCACGAGTCTGTGGATCGTGTCAAATGGGCAAACAGAAAAGGACCTCGCACAAGAGGCTGACCGAGGTTAGTACAAACCACATCATGGAGCTGATGCACATGGACTTGATGGGACTAATTCAGGTCGAAAGTTACAGTGGTAAGAAGTATATTCTTGTCTGTGTGGATGATTACTCTATATTCTATTGGGTTGATTTCTTAAAGGATAAATCTGACACGCTTGATGCCTTTAAGAAACTCGTGTAAAAACTTGAGAATGAAAAACGAACTAACCCTATTGCTATCAGGAGTGACCATGGTAAGGAATTCGAAAATCGTGGTTTTGAGCTATTTTGTGAATCTCATGGCATATTTCACCAGTTTTCTTCTCCAATTACTCCACAGCAGAATGGAGTTGTAGAGCGTAAGAACATAACACTTCACGAAATGGCAAGAGTGATGCTTGCATCACAGGGCATTGTCCTTGAGATGGTGGGCCGAAGCAGTTAACACGAC